ACTCTTTTCCTCACATTCACATGTCTAAAACAGCATAAAACAACTGAGTGTATCTGGCTTTTTTGTAAAAGAGTTTAGTTCAACTACAAAATTTATTTTTTATTTTTTAATCCAAATGATTTATCTAAATTCCATTCTCATTTCTTTAATTTTTAGTAAGGTACAGGTCCAAAAGTAACATTGGATTTAGTCAGTAAACCCATCACTTCAGGTCTCCAGCTGAAGCAAGAACTACAGTCATGTTGACTAGGGTTATTCCACTGCTCTTCTGTTAGGCATCCCAGCAGTTTGCCTCTGGGACAAGCTGCCTGCACATTACTGTTCCTAAGAGCATGACAGACACTTCAGTTGTGCCCTGAATTCCCAGCAACATAGCAGGGGGAAGATATGCCAGAGCTAACGAGTCTGGTTTTGGCTTGAGGTTAGAACAAATTCTTCTACATTACACACTAAATATATTAGCTTCAGAAATGAGCTGTGATTCATTTCAAGGCTAGATTTGTGCTGGAGCTCCAAGAAGGCAGGATTTTATTCAATGTACTTCTGAGCAGCTCTACAAGGTGTCTGCCCCTTGCACTGCCCTTTAAGTCGTCTGAAGGAATCTCTCCCTGGGGAGTTATAGGTTTATTCGTCTTAGCCTGAATTTTAGAAAAGAATAACATTTCAGCTCAGCACTCTAGCACATCTCTCAAACCTACTATCCCTTGCTGAAACCTATAGGTGTTCAGCTATCACATTTATTCTAGTTTCTGAATGTCAGCAGCAGTTATACAGTTACTACTGCCCCTTCATCCTGCATTGGTCAGGAGCTGAAGACTACAAGTATCCTGATGTTTGTAGCTGTGTGTCATGTGTCGCTTCAGATAGACACAATAGTTTGAGTCACACATCTGAACAATAAAAGCCACAGCCTGAGCAGTTGATAGTTTTTGTGCTACTGAAATGGAGAGAAGCAGTATGGTTTCTATACCTTCGGGCACAGACAGGCATTGGCCCAGTGTGCCCATAATTTCTGTCATTCATGTAGAGACCTGAGGATTCCCTGGCAGATGAGAAATACACTCCAGTTATTTTATCTTTCTTACACTGCCTTTGTGCAGTTGTGGGAAAGGAAAAACGTGCACATACTTTTCTATAATGCATTGCCTTGTACTTCTGCAGCCTGCATACCCATCTTTCCCCTTGTACAAGCTCAAAATTAGAGACAGGGGGGAAAGAAATTGCTCAAATAAGAATCATGTGGTATAGAGGGAATTTTCTTTAACAATCCAGAAGACAAGAGCATGATTGCTTAGAAAAACTAAAAAGCCTCCATAAATAAAAAAGGGGAAAAAAGGGCCACTTAAATTTAAAAATAAATATAAAATTAAAATTAGGAGGTAAGAAAATGTTTTATACTTTACCTATGTTGCTTTTCATAGTATATTTTTTCTTTTGTAACTTAGTCTTTTCAATATTCTTTGAAAATTCAGGAATATTAAATGTCACATAAAGTTATAATTGCAATTTATGAATAAAGGAACGCTCTAAGGTAAAAGCAAAACTTGAAAAAGGAAGACAAGCTCTAGCATATGAAAGAAAACTATTTCTTTCCTGGGAGACAGGCCACAGAAATAAATATGTATCTAGATGACATTTCTTTGTATCTTATTCAAGCAGAATAAAACTAAAATTATCCTACATGCCTATAGGCTGCCCTGGTGAAAGGCACAGAACTGTAGAAGGGATTATTTCATATGTGCATTTTCATTTGTTCCCTTTCTAAGATAAAAAAGCAGTTCATTCTAGCTGCTGAGAAATCATTTGGTAAAATAAATCCTTTAAAAATAGGAGACATTTCCACTTAAATATTTTTCAGACACTTCATGATCTAAAGAAGTACTTTTGCCAGGGGCAAATCCAGCTGCTTAGACCGACCTTGGAGAAAACATTACATGAGCCAGCTAAAAATAAAGATCTCATTTGGGAAAAAAGGCTATACTTGATTTTTTCTTTTAGACTTTTCCATGATGGGACAACAGTATCAATACTGAAGGAAAGTATCTAGTACTAGAAGAAATCACTACTTTAAACGAGAGACAAAACTCATGATCTGTCTCTTGTCAGCCTTTGCAACACAGTGGTAAAATGAGCAAAAATAAAAGATGAGCAATTTATACTAATTTGCTTAGTGACACATGCAGGAACAAGGCTTGCAAGATCAGACACAGTTTACAGAAACCATGAGACAAATGTGCCTTGTAAATTCATAATGTACAATGTCCTACACAGCTTGGCACTCTGTGGAAAAACCAGCAATGATCACCACTTCAAAAAGAAACATCTGGAAGCATGGCTACTCCTGTTTTGCTCCTGCAAACACTTTGGTTTTTATAACATAGCCTGGTGGTCAGATCATTCACTCAGGACATGAGAGGGCTGTGTTCTCTGTTTTGAACACAAATGTCTTCTACTTCCCCAGACAAGGCATTAACCACTAGGGTTAGTGCTTTGATCGCTCTGTTTACATTGCCTCAATGTGCACCAAAAAATGCAAGGCAGACAGCCAGAGCAGAGTATGACACTGTGGCCTAGAAATTAGAGATGCTTGGATGGATTTGGGCTCTCAGGGTTATGTCAGTTCTTACCTCAGGAAATTTGATGTGAAGCCTGGGAAAATGCCAAATCACCCATCCTCCTTTTTTCTTCTATAATTTTACATAGAACTGGATGCCTTTTCTTAGCCAGAGAGCCTGGAATTTGAATGTTTCTGCTCATCCTCTCCTAAGTTTTGGAAATTGTTCAGAGTTCACTCTCATATAAACTAGTTGGGTTTTTTTTTGTTTGTTTGTTTGGTTTTTTTATTTTGTAAAACTTCCAAGTAGTTTATTTCCTTTCCTGTCCTTCCTGTACAGAGAAACTGGCTACAGACAGGTGAATTCCTGCTCTCAAAAATCTAGGATCTTGGAACTTAGGTCATATATCTGCTTTGGATCTGTCCCAAAATAATCTCAGGGAACTGCTGCCTTGTTCTTGAAAACATAACTGGTTATTCTGCTATCAGACATGTAAGCACATCCAGAGCTCCCACACGCTGCAAAATTTTCTGCCTCAGGCCATCATCTTTTCCCACAGTCTGTTTTTGATGTCTGAAGTTACAGGTAAAATAGAATTAGACAAGGCAATATGGAAAAAGCTTTATTACTTGTAACTTCCTTATGAAATCAAATTTGATCTTTGTGAATAAAGAATTTGAAACTGTATTTTCTTCAGCTCTTCTTTTGTGAGAACTGCCTCTCTTTACCATGTGAATGTGCAGCTGGGAATTTACTCCCACTGAACTCAATGATTAAAAACAAGACTTCAGTGAAAAATGTTCTGCTGGAAAATACAGTAGAACATCTACAGTGCTATTCAACTAATAAATGTTGGTTCCCTGTGGTGCAGTTTGTGGGAACTGTGGGCTCCTGCAAGGTTTCTCTAAAGCAAACCAGATGCCTGTTTGTTCCAGAAAGCTTAGTTTTTGTCTGACCTGTCCTCACAGCAGCTGAAAGAAAGGAAAAAAGCAGCTGAGTTTTATGAAGCTGTTAAAGCAAAAATTTCATAATTTACATAATATATTTTTTTTTAATGATACATTTTGCTTGTTCAGTCAAACACAATAATTCTTCCTCTTTGAAGCATAATTGTATTTAGTGAGAATACTTGCCATCTGCATGTACTCTGATGCAACTGCCTCCTGTTAACCTTTTCTTTAGTCACATTAATTATACAGGTGACAGAGGTTATGGATAGGATCATCTGCTCAGGTGGACTGTGGAGTTTTGCTCAAATCCTGGATATATAATACTGCCCTAAATTCCTTAACATTTGTGTCATATAATGATGATTTTAGTAGAAAATTTCTGCTGTCAGATTCAGGTGTTGTCCTCATATTGAAAGGCTGCTTCATAATGTTACCATCTGTCCATTGTAATAATAAATCTGGCTTTTATACTCACCCTGCAATATTCTATAAAAGCATACCATACAACAAACAGCTGTGATATACTGACTGATAGATGATTACCTCCTCTTCCCTTAGGTGCTGCTTTGTCCCAGTAAAAGAAGAAAAAAACCTCCAAAAATATCTTAATAAAATTATGTGTGTCATATTTCTAATCTATGATGCTTCAAATAGTCCAGTATGTTCATTCTATATGAAAAATTATTTTATTTTGAAATATTTTACTTATCATCCCTAAAACTGTAAAACTAGATCTTTAAATGAATACTTCTTAATCTGTCTTGCTCCTGTCATTAATCTGCACAAATTTAGGATTGCTGGAAGCTTTCAAAAAATGCTTTACTTTATTTTATTTTTGTTCTTTGCATCATTATAAAGATTTTTCTGCTGCAACTCTCATTCAAAGTCCTCTCATTTTAAGGTAAACAGCAATTCCAAAACACTTCATATCACAAGGAAGATGAGATGCATCAGATAGAATGGTTGATTTCTCCTTTTGTGTTTGTGCCTTGAAATGGCATAGCTGCTTTACACTTTCCATCCTCTTTTAAGTAATAAAATAAAGAGGTAGATAAGTAAAATATATATCTTAGAATATAATAGTTTTATTTCACATAAAATCCCATAAATCAAAATCCCAAAAATCCCCTTAAATTCTTTAAGTTATTCTTATGTTTCCTTTATGCGCTCCCATATTATTCACCTTCTGTATGTGTGAACACACAAAGACTTATGGTGAAACCCTGTAAGCAGAAATTTTGTATAAACTGTCACTGGGTACTTAAGTTTAATGATAACTTCAGATATATAAAAAACTCTTGATTTTCAGTTCAAATAGATATGAAAGAACCTCTTCCTCTTAAAATCATGCATATTTCACAGATTCTACTGATAAAATAGAAAATTAATTTTGAAAATTTGTTCTTGTACCACTACAAGGGATTTTCCTACTACCTGTATAGCTGTTGCAAGCCCTGCAAAAGTATGTATAGGATAATACATTACGCAAACTTACAGCTTTCCAGCTGCATTATACATGTTTGCACGTCCATTGGAAAATTTTTGAGATCCATCGGACAGGAAAGTATTAAAGTCAATCTGAAAGAACACAAAAAACCCATTAAAAATACACCCCCAAAAAAGCCATAGAACTGTGCAGGAAGAATGCATGAATACAATGGAAGCAACTAGAAATAGAATACATGTTTCAGTAGAAAGCTCTCAAAAAAGATCTCTATTAGCTGAACCCATCTAACTCAGCCTAGTATGACAACATGGAAAAAAAATATACAGACTTTCAAAAAAATAAATTTTTCAGTAGGGTTGACTAACTTAATGACAAGTCTAAAGGAATGCAGCAACAGTGTGCCCTTTTGTGCTACAACAGATTTGTTGGACTGTTTCAAATCTTTGGCATAAAACTTACCCAAATTTGCAAGAATTTCCCAACATATGCCAGCTGAAAATTGTGGAGGAAAAGTAGTTTTATGTGTTACTCTCCTAAAATAAGGTGTTTAAAATGTCAACACAAAAGTTTAAATGTTTTATGATTTTGATGGTAGACCTAAATATGCCTGCAATTTTGAACTGTAGCTGTGCATCGGTGTTAGTCCTAATACTTCCTGTGAATTCTTTGCAAATTATAGGCAAAGTGGTATTTTTAAATTTTAGATAAATACAATAATTTACCTTTCAAGTAAAACTTCTCCAAGGAATCAGAAAGTAGAATTTATATAAGTAAAAGGCACATGTTTTCCCTCCCTGGCCATTCCTAGGTACCCATTCATTATTCAGGGCCATGACTCTACCTTCATTAATCAGTTCAGTTGATAGAATGCCCAACAAAAACCTGAGGAGCTTCGGTTCAGCTGCTTACACATAAGGCTCTTCTAGCATGGAAATGCTCTAATCCCCCCTCCCTTGAATACACTCCTCTGCTTTTGGCACTGGGGCTAAAGGGAAGTGGGCAATAGCTGGCAAGTATGGCTGTATATTTCTTTTACTTTTTTTATTTTTCTGACCAAACCTCCTTGATTCATTGTTGTTATAATTTCTGTTTAGCCAAACAGTGACAGGTTTGCATTAGAGAGTCTGAGGAGAGAAGTCAGACCCATCCCCTATTCCCATGCTGTTAAAAATAGTTCCAAAGACAAATTTTAGCTAGTAGGCTGGTAACAAAGGAAGTCATTTTAGAGGTACCTGGACTTTGTGCTTCAGTAAATATTTTAGTATTTTATATTAAGTATTCATTGAGCTGGGAACTGCTACCTTCCATTATTTTCTTGCCTTAATTGTTCCAGCGCAATTAGGGATGAGGAGAAATTTAGAAAGAAGGAAATTTCGAAAGAAGGAAATTTAGAAACTTCTGTTTTTAATGTCAGCACACTAACAATTAACAAATCTCCCCTTATCAGAAGGTTAACTTACTCAAATGCACATAACTAAACTAGATGCCAATTATATGATTTTAAATCTGTTTTAGAAACGATAGTAGTTTAATTAAATCAAGGCAACATAAAATTTCTGGCTTCATAAGAAACTTCATAAGCTTCTGGCTTCATAGGAAACAGGAGCTATCTGGTATTTTCTGTCAGCATAGTTGATGTTTGCCTTTATAAGTTAATGTGATATTTCTCACATTTGGGGTTTTTCACTCCATTTTATGTGGCCATGGACTTGGTCTGAATTGTACTGAAGGTGCAATCTAAACTTGTTTCTGCTGAGTGGTGGGGTCTATACTGTGTGCTGTATGTGTTTGGAAGAAGTAGGGAGTTATTTGATTAGAGTGGAACAGCAGCCAGTGCCTCTTGGGATGACTCAGACAGTCTGCAGATAATTGATTTAAATCTACTTTCTACTTGAATCCAGAGAAGGAATCCTTTTGACCTGCTTTGAATCTGTTTCTACTGCCAGAATACATGTTGTGACGCTGAAGATTGACAATGCTCCCAGAGTGGCAGACTAACCTCCTTTTGGATATGAAATCCTCATAAGAATGTTAACCCAACCCTTTCTCTTTGTGTAAGCTTGAAAAAGTGCTGCCTAATTGCACTGGAAGGAGGGAAGGAGGAGGGAGATTCTCTTGCCACTGACACATCCATGCAAGTCATAAAGTTCTCTGTTTCTCCAGTACCCAAACTGTTCACAGATTCCTGATATTTCTTCAAAGAGTCTAATTATGCATTAATTCAGTGTCGTAAAGGCATGCAAAGCAAAGCACTGAGTGGACAATAGTATATTAATTTTGGAAAGACTAACATTTTGCACAAGTGAGTCACTGCTTCAATACCAAATCTATACTGTCTAGTGGGGCATTAGCATACTTATATCCAATGTGTTTCTCAATAGGTTGGGTGTTTGAAGTCAGTGGTAAAATGCCTGCTGATGTCTGTATTAAAAGGAAAGTGGAGGGAAGAGAAGTGGGATAATTAGATTTTGTCAGTACTTATGATTGCTGCTTTCAGCTTCTTAAAACCTTTTCAAAAATTTACTTTCCAGTTTTCTCTCCATCTCCAGCAGTAAATGACTAATCTTTAAATGTTATTCTTCCTCAAACAGGCCATGTTTTCATGTTGAAGTGCAACTGCAATAAGGGAGAAAGGAAGTAACATTGCATTGTCATGACATTGGAGGCTACAGACTGTGAAACTCATACATAGGCCAACTCAGACTATAATAGTACAGGACTGTTTGTTCTGTGCAGTGTCCCAGCTCCTCTAGGCTCAGTACCTGTACTTTACAATGCAAAAGATACTTTTCTTATTACTTTTACTATGTGCATGCCTAATGAGCAATCATTTTCTATTTTAATATTAACAATGAATGTTGACAAAATTCTGCATTCAAAACTCACACATAACAGTTCTGTGTGACTAGAAACTGAATATATTTTTTAGCAATTCCTAATTATGCTTTTGAGCCGCTACATGAAAAGATCATTAGATTCAAAACTCACCTGATGGAATAAAGTACATTTCCATTTTTGAAAATCCGCAACAACTTATTATCTGTTGTAACTTCATGAAAGTTGGCACCTTTTTCATTAGCAAAGAACAAATCAGGTTTCCAAATTGAATCCAGCATGGATGGATCTAAATCTAAAGAGTCATCTGGATATTCACTGTATGCGAGGCGTGGATCATTCCAGTTCTGACGGAGAAAGATGTTCACTCGGTAATCCTGAATAAAAGAGAAAACAAGCAAAGCTTTATCAAGCATAGGGATTTAGCTTTTATTTCATTTCTTAGCCATGTAATCCCCTGTCCATCTGTGGATGACAAAAGAATTACTTAGCTGAATGCCAGAATGATACCTATTTATATTAGTGGGGCCACAATGGATAAGAATAAAGATGCATTTCAGGGCAATTGAAAAAAATCCTAAGATAAGGAAATCCAACCTCCATGTGCAGTTCATATAATTCCATATAACTCAACCCCTATCACAAATTTATCTTGAATTTGAAATGAGAAGCATAAAAAGAGTTTTATGATGTTACCTTTTTTTGCTCAAACCTGGGGTATTCCCACCTCCTTCTCCCTGTCAGTGAGAACCTGTCTCAGGTTAAGGGAAGTTAAATTAATTTTTTTTCTCTCTCTCTAATCTTTACTTGTTTTAGACCCACCACATAGGCTTTCTTTGCCTCAGTTCCCCATTGAATATTGTGTGGCAGTAAGTTGTCGTGCAGCAGTCTGAGGAGGACACATGTTCCTTCTTCCTCTCTTCAAACAGGGTAGAAACAATATAAGTCTTTACCATAAATTAGGTTAGCTACAAGTGAAGTCACCTTAATTTCTGCAGAAAGTCCTGTCTTAATCAAGAGTTCTTTTATAGAAAAAATGAGTGAGTGCTTCAAACTTCTGGAAGTCGTTTAGGAGCTGCACATACATTCTGTCAGAAATGTATTTATGGCTCCACACTTTCTTAAAACCTTACCACTCTGAAAACACTTGGTTTTGAATAAAGGTGAATAACAGCTTCTCGTTACATTGCATTTAGAACTGAGACTGAACATAAAGGCATAGGAACTATACTATTATTGGTCATAATAAGATTTTCCTCATTATTTGAACTGCATTAATGGGAAAGGTAAAAATAAAGTAGAGAAAGATATAGGTTACCTGCAGGGGGAAAGTGGCAATTGGTTGTCAGACCTTACATGACATTTCTAAGTATAACAAAAGTAAAAAATATCACTTGTTTATGGTTAAAAAAGATGATGGAAATTTATTTTAACAAGAAAACTTTTTGGGTCAGAATGGGAAATGAAGTGTACAGGGCTGAGAAATACAATTTAGCCAAAAACTATGGATACTGGTTATTATAGGTTAGACTATATAACTCTTTAAAACCTCATTGGTGCAGAAATTGTTGGTTAAAAATCCAGCATTTTATTGATATTGCTCTTAGGAAACTTGGAGCATGCAGCCATGTAGTGGGCAGAATTGTGCCAATGGACCTAATAAAGGCGACAGAAACCTCAATATGCAACATTTACTCATGAGAAACAGTTTTTCGTATCTTCAGCATCCTGCTGTTTTTGGTCAATTTAATTACTCAGTTTGTCTAAGGGTAGCCAAATACACTAAAAATATGCTTACCAAGTCTTGCCAATTTAGAATATTGTAAATTGTACAGAGAAAGTCCTGATAAAGAATTTTATCTTCACATAACCTTTAAAATTTACAGGACAAAGAAAGTAAGTAGAAAACTACACTTGAAGAATGAAATTAATTCAAATTACTGTTTCCAGCAGAGAGGAAAAAAGCTCTCTGACCAAGTGGAAGCATGTAACATTAAATGCATAGGAATAGTTAACTGCTATATTTAAAGAAATAAATTGTTGATTAATTTGTTAAACACACACACATAAACAGACCAGAATCCCTTTCAGGAAAGGACTGAAAGACATTTTCTTTTTCATCATGGGTAGTGACAGCCTCAAAAGCCATAAAAAGTTCTTATGAGAACCTGTTGGTATTTTTTATAATTAGTACCACGAAGTTATACAACCAGAGCCAGGTTTATAGATGCAGAAACAAGCCTGTATTTTCTGTATGTTTCTAAAGTAAGACAAAATTCTTAGATGAGCTTGTACCTCAGTGCTCAAAAACTGTATTTTTGGTGTCCTCTAGTAAGAGGGAATAATAACCCCTGATATAGCCTTATTTCTTTGCATGACATCCCAAATACCATGAAGCACCAGTTACCATTCCAGATTGCCGTGTAAAATCAAAAGGACAAGAAGAAGGAGGATGATGGCTCCGCTGCCTTTCCCAGCATGGGCAATCCTTGAGCTGAAGGAAGCATTAGCTCTAAACCTGGGGCACTGGTGTGGAGGACTGCAGCTCTCAGGACTTTGCACTTCAGCCCAAGCTTTATATTTTAAATTATATAACCTGAGGTATGTCTATTTACTTTACTTTTCTCAGTAGAACATGAAAAATTTATGGACAGGATTAGTTGCAGAGTAAAGGTCTTCTCACATGTGTGAGACAGAAAAGGTGAAAAATGCATAGCAGGAAGGCCAAATGTAAAAGGAAAATGGAGAATGACAAATGATGGAATCCTTTCAAGATTATAATAAGTTATGCTGTATGTCAGTGTGAGTAAAGTTTATTAGTTTAAATTGTTTCCAGCTTTTAAGATAAAAAAAAAGTCCTGGTTAAACTTTTCACTGAAGCAACCTGAGTTATTTTTCATTGTTCTCTCTGTCTCTCCCCTGAAAACTGACTTAAATTGGCAATCATTATTCACAAAAAAGAAAAAAAATCCTAATCTATCAAAAGGAAAGAGATATATTTGACTGCTATTTTATGAAGGAAAAGTATTCATCATATCAATTTATAATTACACATTATGAGCACAAGGCCTAAGTGCTTTAAACAAGTAGGGTTTTTTGATGCAAATACAGACACCTGAATCAAACTGCCTGAATTGATTTGTTATCCTACAAGAGGCTCCGTATTGTCATATGCTGTTTGCCTGAAAGAATGGCTCCTAATTCAAATAACTGTGACAGAAAGGTCCCTTGGGGGGGGGAACAATCATCATTGCAGTTGTGGTGACTTCCAGAGCCTCATCTGTAACATCAAGGCTGCCATTGTCTGAGCAGCTGCTGCACCCTGGTTCTCCAGACCGAGAGAGACATGGGGCTGCACTTGCTTCACCACACTTCAAAACCTTAGCCACAAGGTGAACCTTCTTAGAGGGTCAGGATACTGTTCATCTGCTTCATAAGGCTCAATAAAATAAAAACTAGAGATCAAATAATTGCTCTTTTCTGTCCATGCCAAGGCTCAGGCCACCATGGACCTCAGTACTAACATTTTGATTAGCAATTTCCAGCACACAGTAAAATCTGAACCACTTACAGAGTGTTTTGATTTCTACTTCATTATACTTGTACAGATAGAGCTATATTACCATAACATACAGAATGTAGCTTTATGGAGATTTTTGCACAAATCTCACAGTACTAATTTCCCAGTTCTCACTATTTCTTTAATGCATTTTTCATATGTACTGCATGTGGAATCCTTCCAGATCTGAGAGATCCCAAAATATGCCCCTCATTTGAACATTGAATATCACCTGCTCTCATAATTTTTTATGCTGTTATTTGAACCAAGTCTCCAGAATTTCATGCATAAATTACAGAACTCCCTCTGTTGCCATTCCAAATATTATGATAATTTTGCCTAATATATACTTCTAAGCGAAATCTAGTCTTGTCTTTTGTATAATGTAGTCAAATTATTCTTCCTTCACTTGTTTTAACTCACTGTAAAATTTTAACGTGGAAATCTTACAGACTTTGAAAGAAGACTGCTAAGAATGAACATAAGACACTATAATAAATATTGTTCTTGTGGAAATTTTTTTCTTTATGTGTTAACTCTTACACTCCTATTGAAAGCTCATTTTTACTGCCGTATAAGAAAAGCTTATATGCTACAGAACACATTGATAGTTTTAATTTATAATGCTGAGATTTTCAAAAGTTACTGTCTTGGTGTCTGAAAAACATGCAACTTGACATGCTTTTTATTGCTGCCTTGACTGGTATAATTAGACAGGATGGCCTGTGGCATAATAGTACTTTTAGTAATAACATCTTTCCATTTTAAATTTATATACAGTTCTATAGCACTGTGGCTGCACTTTAGGTAATTACTTTGTCCAAATTGATGGAATTTTCTAGTTTTCCTTTCTATAGCTGAAAATTTCAGACTGGACCAAAAGTTTGTCAGATAAAAATTTCAATATGCCTTTGACAAAACTTTTCTAGTTTTGAAACTAGAAACAGAAATTGAAACTCAAATATTTAAATTGAAGTTAGCCACTCAAATTGTCAAGTCATTTTCCATGCAGGGTACCAATGCCATTGCCATATCAAAGTAGGAGAAGAACGTTGAAATTCACACTCACGTTTGAGAAATGCAAATATAATTTTTGTATTCTGAAGGATTGCCTTGTATTTCCTCATGCTTAATAGATGGAATTCCATCATTACTGAGATTCCTTATGGTGCAGGCTTAATTGTTCAAAAGAATATGTAAAAGAAAGTGCAGGGGAGGATGATACAGGACTGGACAGGGTGGTCAGTTCTGTGAGTATAGACATGAAAAGTTTCATGTATTTGTTTAAATTGATAATGCAAAGGACTTGTGTTATGACTTAATTTATTTCTTGATTGCTTTCTGTAAGTATATCAAAGGGGAGGAAGAAAACATTTTAAATCTAAAGACAAGAATATCCTTCCTTAACTTTCAATACATTTAGACTGAACTGAAATGGTTCATCTCTTTTCTCATGCTAAAAAACACTGGTGATATTTTCATTGGTCTTACTTATTATAGCAAATAAGGGGATTATTTATTTTTTATTACATCTTTGCATTATTACTGGAGTACTGTTTAAAGTTCCTGTGTTGCCAGCATAAGAAGCGAACTATTTGAGCAAGTCCAGAGGAGAGCCAGAAAGTCGATAAGAGGACAGGAAAACATTCTGCTATAAAGGCAGGGTGAGAAAGTTGGGACCATTCAGCCTGGAGGAGTTTGAGTGAACAAATTTTTTAGAGTGAGAGTGATGAGGCACTGGAACAAGGAGGTTCTGGGTGCTGCAACCCTGGCAGCATTCAAAGGGCAGGTTGGATAAGGTCTTGAACAACCTGGTCT